TCTCTCTCTCTCTCTCTCTCTCTCTCTCTCTCTCTCTCTCACACACACACACACACACACACACACGCACACACACACACACACACACACACACATACACACCGGGGTTACACAGGAGCTTCCACAATATGGATCCATACTTTTATGCCTCAGACCTCTTGCGTACAGCACGGATTCGCACCGGCGCCCTTGGCCACAAGAGCCAAGTCTCTTAACCACTACAACCAGAACACGTTGCAGTCTGACGCTAGGGAAAACTCTGATATCTTTTCAAGAAATGTGGACAGAGTTCAAACTCATGGCAGATACTGTTACAGAAATGGAACTCACAGTTAGGTGAGCAGAAGAGATTGCAGAAATTTGAGGAGAGACTCTTCTCTTGGCGTAAAAATTGGAGTGGGGAGGCTGAAGTTTCAGCTCCAGTGTAGCGGGAAGAACAATTGACATATCTAGATGGAGAACCTATTTAGTCGACTTCAGCAAGACAAAAAGGAAGGACAGGGTAAGGATGACAGCCTAACAGTGTATATTCCTTGAGCCTTCCTATCCTTCCCCCTCTCCAACTTTGGAAACCTGCATGCTAGTGATTCAATTGATGTGATCAACGCACATGAATCAATTCCTTTCACCACATGTCTTGCAACACAAGCACGATAACAGGGTATATCCCTCGAGCCTTCCTATCCCTCTCGCTCCCCAACTTTTGAAGCCTGCATTCACGAACACAACCAATATACCATTGGGTCCATTAAGAACACACAGCTGGGTTCTCCTGTCAGAGATTGTTTACCCCTTTTATTTACTGTGTGTTACCGTCAGATGCGAGGAGGGGTGGGTGATAAGGGAGCACCCTTTTGAAGATTCATCATTCGCACCAACTTTATGAGAACGGACGAGTGCCAAGGGTAGTATTCACGCTAACGTCCTGAAGCCCCTGACTCAGACACACTCTGGTGTCCGTGAGAGTAACCGCCAACTTTCTATGTTGATCTTACAATGATACATGCGATTCATCGACTTTGGTGCAGAACAACAACAAACCATACTTCACGCGCGAGTTGCACTCGCGTAGTACTCGTCAGGTTTATCGACACATCCAGGCAACTACATCAACACACCATGAGCTTTCCACATGATCGGCTTGTCCAGTCCACAATAACATGGACAGCCTAATGAAAAAGCAGCCACAGGAGCACCAGCTTGGAGGGCGTACCAGGGAATCGAACGACGAGTGTCTTCCTCAGGGAGAAGGCGAACCTCATTGTCTGGTCCATATGGGCACCCAGGAGGAGGTGCATCGAACGGATTCGATAGTGCAATCAGTATCTTGGGATTGCTCAGCCCTTCCCCACTTGCGATTGTCTCATACCGTTGCTTCGGAACCGCCTGTGGCAAAAGAATCGGAGCCAGATGCAATTAGACGGACAGAATGAGATAATTGAATTATAAATTTATAATTTATACCTCTGAATTTATAAATTTATAACTCTGAATTTCCTGGTCCTCGTCAGTTCAACGATGATATCTCAAAGTCCTCGCCCTTAAACAAGGGCAACCGAAAAAAGAAAAAAAAAATGGGAACCATAAAAAAAGAGCAGTGCACAAACACGCACAAACTGTTAAGCAGAGCAACAAGCTGTGGGAGAGGACGGAAAAAAAAAGAAAAAGAAAAATATTCAACTACTTCCACTCCTTCAATACCATTGCACTTGATTGGCTAACTTCTTTTTCCCAACTGTAGGCATTCATATATTGTTTTTTAAAATAACTTTATTAATTTGATAATTTCATTAGGATTTTCATACCATTCACTGGCATTCAGGTATTAAAATTTTCAAAAAAAGAACAAAAAAGGGTGCCTCCCTCTGCCATCCCAGGCATAAGGCTCTCAGGGGCAAGAGATGAAAGGAACACCCAAGAAAGCAGGAGGTAGGTGCTGCCTTTGGAAGGCAACACTATGACTCCAGTAACGGGTCAAACTTGTGCACAAAGCAGTACGGTGTACAAGAAGATTAGATAAGCTGAAAATTTTTCTAAAGTATTTCCCAAATAAGCAAGAAGAAGAAGGGAAAGGAAGGGGGACAACAAACGGTAAGTACGCAGAGTGTATCATCAATCACGTGCTGATCATGCAATCAAGAACTGACAGCAACGAACGTCTGCCCATCGGGCCTAGAAAACTCCTTTCAGACGCAGTCATGCAACCGAAAAGGTATAGGACAAGACAGGGAACATACTGAAGGAGAAAGAAGAAAGACATGAGATAGAAGGTAGAACAGAGTCATAGTATAGCTTAGAAGGAAGAGTCCGCAAGCGAACGTCGTGTCCATGTCGTCAAAACCCAGGCCGAGCTCACCGGCGCTTGACCAGACATGTTTCGTCTGGTCACCGGAGCCAAAATCTTCAGGTGTCTACATCACGAAAGGAGTACTGACAACGAACTCGCGAGTCACGACACTATTTAAGACAAAGACGAACAGAGTCCATGCAGAAACAAGAGCCTTCTATGCCTAGCTAAACCAGCAAATCATCCAGATTCTAGTAACAGAGAAAGGAGGCCAGGATTCTTCCAGAAAGGTCCGAAAGACGTCCAAGAAGGCAGCCCAATAGACTGAGACAAGAAATCGAAACACAATGAAGGGTCTAACTGACTCTAACCTACTAGTACCGTCCAGAACAGATTTCAACAGAGATGAGGGTTCAAGACCCAAACAACTCTCTCAGCAAAGGAATCCGAGAAGCCGAACCGATATCATCCTAAGTCATTCATGTGCCACCTGCTCATCGGGGCCAGCCAGGCCCTACCTTGCACGAAAACCCAAGGAAATGAAAGGAAAAGGAACTCTCCCCCCAGCATAGGAAGCCAAGACACCTAATTAATACAATCTTAATTTGGGGCTCCTGGTTTTGAATGGTCAACGGAGGTGGTACAATGGGAACGATGGGAACAGGAGAGTCCGTTCGTGAGCGAGACCGTGGAGGCAACAGAGGTGGCGAGGAGGAACGCAGCTGTCTGTGGCCAAGCACAGAAAGAGATGAGAGGGGAGTTGAGCGGGCAACGGTTCGAAATAAAGGACGTGAGTGCCGTAGAGACTGATGTTGTGTGTGTGTGTGTGTGTGTGTGTGTGTGTGTGTGTGTGTGTGTGTGTGTGTGTGTGTGTGTATGCATCTGTGTCTGTGTGTCTTATACCATTCGCCATTGTTTTTTTTTTTTTTTTTTTTTTTTTTTTTCCAAATGGAAAATACACAAAACACCGTCTGTTTATTCTGGGCGGGTGGGAGTCCAGTTACTTATCCCCGGCAAGCATGAAACAACAGAAGATGAAAGATGAAAACATAGTGTGGGAGACTAATTGAAGTAAGTCCACCGTGTCCTCCAATTCAACCAGAGTTCAAACTCGTTTGCAAAACCTTTTCGTCTGTTTGTAATATCTTTCATGAAACTTTATCAGCACTACATTGTAATAACAGCACAAGGTATCCTTGAGTGTGTGGTGTGAGGATCTGCGTCCTCGGCAGGCCTGAGGGGCCCCTGCTGCAAATGTGCCCGCTCTAAGTGAAGGCGGGCTTAACAAATCACAAGAGGCCCTAAGCTGTCAAATTCGTATTTGGGGTCCAGGCAGTTTCGTCGCGCCAGTTGGTTGAGGAAACACAGGCCGAGCAGCAAGGAAATTCTACGGCCTTCTCGGCAATTCCGAAAGTGCAGGCCCTGGGCGAGATTCGCAGCCTCATACACAGACAGTTGGGAGGCCCAACTGAACGAGGCCCGGTAGCCGCACCAGAGGCGCAGCATCCTGGGGCCTACCGGAAGCTTCTGGGCCCAGGCCCAGGCCAGCCAGGCTGCGAAGACTGGCAGGCTCTTCCCATATAGGAAAGAGCTCGTGGCCTGGATCCTCATTCAGGCACTCGCATGCTGGCGGCAGCGCTGCTGGAGCTTATGCTCGTGGGCTGCTGCTGGCGCTGAGAGACGAGGTGCAAGCGCGTGCGGTTGTGCAGGGAGCAGGGCGCTGCTGAGGGCAGCGCCATAGCCCAGCCTCCATAGCTGGCTGATTGCTTGGATGTACAGTGAGGCGCAGGGGTGGTCTTCAGGTGTACAAAGGGAAGACGTGGGAAGACGACGGAGAGAGAGAGAAGGATGATGATGATGATGATGTGAGGGCACATACCTGGTATTGGCGATGGTCTGCATGGGCGACATCTTCAAGTACTTTGGAGGCTGTTGACGTCAACAGTTGCATTGTCAATTAGTAGGCTAGTAGTAGCTGTGTAGGGAGTAGGCTGGGCGCCGAGCGCCAAGTGGGGAGATAGGGACTGGATACATATGTTGGTGGTGGCGAGAGCAAGCTCTCATTGACATTGGTTTTCAGTGCTACGATTCTCCATTGGTGTCATATTGGTGCAATGCTGCTTTCTGAACACTGTGATACGATCTGGCTTTCAATGTGATTGTGCAATCTGAATATTGTCATCTCGCTATTGCTCATTTTTYTTGCAGKGGGAAAAAAAAAAAAAAAAAAAAAAAAAAACAGTGCTCATTAACGCAATAAACAGGGATGCAGCGTATATATAGCGTGTGAACTCCAATGCTGTGTCATAAGGACGCCAAGGTGGTGGAGCAAGACGGATTTGGCACATAAATGTTTAACTCTGTGAAAAGGTTAAAAGACGCGAGTTGGGTTGTCCAGGAGACTAGGATCAAATAAAAAAATTTCACTAATATATGTGGGAACGTCCTCTGGCCTTCGTCCCTTTGTTTTGTGTGTCAAATTCGATCCGTGTACCCAGTTCCCCTTACTGAAATGCAATGGGCATAATGCGCAGGCGGCAGGACAGCAATATATGTCTGTGTAGGATCCCTCAGGGACTGCAGTGGTGGGAGAACTATTCGTTTGGCAAAGTGGCACATAACATTCAACAATGAAAATCATCACTAACCGACACTAAGGCCCTTAGAAGTCCAGGAACTCACCTTACACCTCCTCAATCCTGAAACGTCCATCCACGTGACCCGCACAAATTCATTTTGGTTCGGGATGCAAGTGGGGCGCTTCACAGTGCTCTGCTGATTGCAGACAGTCTCCCCATCAGAATGCTCACAGCTGTCTATGATAGCCTGATCCAGTCCATACAGCCGTACAGAATTCCCAGATAAAACGGCCTTCCCAGCAGCAATAGCCTCGATCTCAGTCAGGTCTCCATCATTGACAGATTCGCGCAACACACAGGAGAGGATGCGCCTGGTCCATAGTGCACCTGTTTATTACAAACGAAATGGACCTAGTCAGACAGAGGGTTCCCAAAAAAAAAAAAAAAAAAAAAAAACAGAAAACCTTAAACCACCAGTACTTGGCCCAGCTATTGTGCTGTGTGAGGACGTACATCCAATGTTCAACGTTGACTACTTCATTCAACTAGTACTGTAACACCGGCAACAAATCAGAATCCACACCATAGCAATCAAGAGACCAAG